ATGACGTGAGAGGCGGAGTGCCTGTGCAGCCTTGTGACTTTGTGTCTGTGACATTTGACATACTACAGAGCCTGCAGTCTGCTCTATAGGAGCGGGGCTGCTCTCCGCTAACATGGCAGCACGCCTCGGCTTGCACTCGTCTCATCGCATCTCGTCACATCACAAGTCCTCTCACCACGTCACACTTTCTCACTCTCATTCTGATACTTCCTTTTCATCACTCCTTCCCGTGGTTTCCATTCCTCTTTGCTCTGCTTCTTTAGCCAGGTTTCCTTTGTCATATTTCTGTCTCGTTTTTCTATTTCTCTCTAATACTTCTGTTTCTTTCCAATGCTGTCATTTTCTCCTCCTCTCTCTACAATGCTTTTTATCTGAGCCTCTGGCTTCCAACCTCCCCTCCCCCCCCTCCCACCATCTAATTTCCTCTCTGTCTTTTCTCAACATCATCCCCTCCTCTGTCACATCTCTTTTGCTCTTCCTTCTTTTTGTCCATTTTTTTCTTTTTCTGCTCTCATTTCCTTTGACTGTTCTCTGTATCACACTCCCATTTTCTCTCCCCATTCTCCCTTTTGTCTGTTTCTATCTTCCATTCCTTTTTTCCTCTCTCTTTCCTCTTTAGCTGGTGCTCAGCTCACACCAGGCCCAATAGCCTGCATCAGGTGTGTGTGTGTCTGTGTTTGATTGTGTGTGGAGGTTTGTTTACAAAGGAAGCCGTAGAATGTTTGGTATGTCTGCTTGTGTGCATTCAGACACACACACACACACACACACACACACACACACACACACACACACACACACACACACACACACACACACACACACACACACACACACACACACACACCTGCTCAGCGAGGGCCCGTCGTGCACGCTCCCTCGGCCAACAGATAAACAAGTGTGCTCGCATCTCCCGTGAGGTAACCATGGCAACCGTCTCTCCCTCTCTATCTCTCTCCCCTCTTCTCTCTTTTTGACTGAGCTGCTGGTTGGCTGGCTGTCCTGGAGGCAAGACAATAGCAGGTTTCAAGGCCAATGTCACTTTTCCCTCCCCCCTCCCTCCCTCCTCTTCCTCTTTTGCCAAACAAGGAAAGAAACAACACTGCTTCCTGTATTGATAGATGTGACGTCACAGGTGGGGTGGCAGCCATGCAGAGCAGCGTGGGGGAAATATAAAAAACAACGATGGATTCATAGAGATTTTTGCAATAAGCCTCCATCTCTCCCATTTCCCCTCTCCCCTCTCTTCCTCTGTTTGTATGATGTGGACAATTGCCTTCTTTCCTTTGTAGGGCGCAAGAGGAAAAGGGATTTCATGCAGGCTAACTAAGCCCCTAATCCTCTGTTTCATGCCGTTCTCCCTGTCTCTCCCTCTGTTATATATTTATTTCTGCTTTGCTGGAACTATTTTCAGTGGTGCAGTGTTGCAAAAAGTATTTTCATCTCTTCTTTTTGTAAAAGTAGCAAAACCACACTGTATGATTACCTCAACTAAAGAAATGGGCCTGCATCCAAAATATTAGTTTGTATTATTCATTAAAACATCCTATAGTATTAATAATATTCTCATTATATATGCAAATGGTCAGTCATTGGTATTCTTTATATATGATTGGATTCCAGATGATGAATATAAACAGCATTTACATGTTGTCGATGATCAAGGCGAACCCTTGATTAAGTGTTGTGATTGAAAGCATAAAGAAGTATACATTGGAAATACTGTTCCTCAAAATAGTTCTTAACATGCAATCCCTATTAGACCTTTTGGGGGAGGTAAAAATAAACCATAAACAAAACATAATGACTTATGACATCCTAGTGAAGTTCATTTGGCAATCTTATTAGCCACAAGCTACTCATGTTAGCACCAAATAGATATGAAGCACCATTTGTTGTCTTTTCATCCACCTTACAAACATACATCATAAATGTTTTTATCTCTGTTTTGGGTCTCCTCCAGCTTCTCAGATAAATATCTGGCCCCTAGGCAGCGAAATGCTACCCCATGTTCTCTAGCTAGCTGCTAAATGTCTCTGTGTGCTGTTTGGTGCTGAATTTAGCTTATTTTAGCTAAAGAAAGACACTGCTTAACACTGCGAGAGTGATTCAAAACCTAAAAGTAGCTGTTAAACCAAAACAATGAGCTAAAAGAACAAGGCTGTTAAGTTTCGTAGAGCCGAGTGGCTTCTCGCGATGAGCAACCCTTTTTCAAACGTCACACAAGAATGTGTCATCATGTTATTAAAATATAAAAAGCAGATTTGAAAGCAGCTTACTTGAGTAAATGTTACGCTGATGGTGAGTTTGAGTGGCGTTTCTAGATGTGAGAGTCCTTTTGCTGCAATGTTCCTTCAGTGTCTCCCTGTCTCCCACCTGTTCTGAATTGCAAAAGCCTCAGACAATCATTCTGTCCTGACTGTTTGGGGGGGGGGAGGCCAGAGGGAGAGGGAGAGGGTTAGAGAGAGGGAGACAGAGAGAGAGCTGTCAGCCACTCTGGCTAACCATCTAATAGGTTGCCATACTGAACTGACATTTGAAGGCTACAGGAGCATTAGTCCTGAAATGAAAAAGAGAGATGAGAGACGGAGGGAGAGAAACAGGGGGAGAGAGATTGGATATGCAGCGAGCGTGCTGTGGAGTCGGCAGCCCTTATCAATGCATCTGTCTATCCATCGGCACCACACGGCCTCATCTCCTCTATGATCTCCACCCACCCCAGTCCTGCGCCTCCTCGTGCCCTCCCTCACCCTCACCCTCTCTCTCTCTGTCTCTCTCTCTCTCTATGTTTCCCAGTGAGAAGAAAGGGGAAGGACGGAGATGAAAGAAATACAGTGGGGGGCGAGCCAGGGAGGGCTGAGTGAGCGCATAAGACGGGAGGAGGAGGTTGAGAGGAACAGAGTGATAAGAGCCAAGGGCAGAGGGAGAGAGAAAATCTTAGATGTTTAATTTACGGTCTTTCCTGCAGCAGACAGATGTGTGAGATTGGAGAAAGACAGACAAACAGAAAGAGATAAACAGGCAGCAAGATGGACAAGGAGACTGAGGACAGACAGGCGGACAGATGGAAAATAGACAGGCCGTCTAATATCTTCTTCTATCTGACGGCAGCTATTAAGCCACTTTCTGACCAAGTAGAGCGATACCAAAGACTTGAACTCTCTCACAGTCCTTCTACCCTCAATTGAGCTTTTGTCATTTGTCATCCTTTTTTTTCGAGCCCGCTTTCACAGTCCCCATTTCAATCTATTGTGAGCAATCAAAGGTAATTTATTTTAAATTGCGGCACTGCCCTGGACCTGTACCGTGAAACCGCATTGCTGCATTGGTTTGGTCTGTTACAAGCCCTGTAAAGCTTCTAGAGCTGGAGGGAAATAAACCGCAGTCATCAGACATAGTTGCATATAAATGGCTAGAGTCCTAAAACCATCAGCAGACTGTGTGGAGGAGGACACAATGTGCGTTGGTTCAGCAACAATACAGTTATTCATCTCTTTAGTCGGATCAGTGTGTATGGATTAGTGGATGATTGACGTCTGAAACAAGTATATTCCAGATTTGGTAATAATTATAGTAACTGGTTGAAGAGCTAAACTGTGAATATACTGTAGTAAATAACAGTATTTTTCCTGTTACAAAAAAACCTTGGATTTTTGTTAACCTTTTTCTTCACATCCTTAGTGGACAACCTTCATGAAAAAAACGTGTCTCATCTAAAAAAGGAAAACTACGCCTGATTCATACCTCATGGAAGCTTGATAGATATGAAATATGCTGAGGTCCTATATCTTTAAATTCAAAACTATTGATTCAAGTTTAGTACTTCCAACAGAGGGGACATCTTTCGTAAAATGTTTATTTCCCAAAACAAACAGCACTATGTTGACGTCACCACGACTTCAGCAGAATGTGTTACCAGGAAAAAAAGTACACACAAAACTTAGGAATTGAACAGAAATAATGTGAACCCCCTCAACCAAAAAATCCAGATCAAAATGAATCATGTTTGTAATCTTGTTGTTGTTCTTGTGTGTTTATGTGATGTACTAACTGCCACTTATGCTAATTAATTGCCAATGATTGTCTTAGGAAGTGCATGCAGACCTTCATACAAACTCTAATTTCCCTTTGTCCCACCTGCTCTGGGCTATAATAATTGGTCTCACACAATAACACACACACACACACACACACACACACACACACACACACACACACACACACACACACACACACACACACACACACACACACACAGCAGACTCACGAGAGAGTTTGATAATTAACTTTGTAATCAACTCGAGGATCCACAGTGCATGTATGTAGGTTGTCCATGCATTTGTGTTTGTTTAACATGGTGTGCGAAAGTTAGTGGTAGAGTATATATCTGAGTGTGTGTATGTTAACGCATCCAAAACTGTGCGTGTGTGTGAGTGTGTGTGTGGAGGTGATAAGCACCTGAGCCCGCAGGCAGCCTTCAGATTTCCCCTCACGTCCTCTGTGAAATCAGCCCAATCACTGCACTGTCATCTGCCTGCCACCAGAGAGAGGCCTGCGCCGCATACTGACAAGCTCATTTGCCACACACACACACACACACACACACACACACACACACACACACACACACACACACACACACACACACACACACACACACACACACACACACCAGCACTCTCTCAGATATGCGGCTGTGGCTCAGTGGGTAGTGTGCTGGACTTGGAATCAGGGGGTAGCATGTTCGAGTCCAACTGCAGTCAGCATGTCGTTGTGTCCCTGGGCAAGACACTTCACCCCAAATTGCTCCNATCTTTTTACGTTCCACATTTTTTTCTCACTTATTAAGCTTCACTTCATATGTTTTATTAGCTTATCAGCTCCATTGTACATGTAATAAAATAAAGTTTATATGAAGTGAAGCTTAATAAGTGAGAAAAAAATGTGGAACGTAAAAAGATCCTATGGCACACCTGGACAGTGCTCGCGGCACACACCGGTTGGGAACCACTGGTCTAGACAACATGTTCAGGTGTTACCTGTTGTAGAACATCCAGTGTGACAGGATAAAACATGTTGTCGATGATTATTCGTAGGACAGGGCTGGGGGGTGGAGCTAGGTCTAAAACTCCAGGGTCAGAGGATGGAGAGCTTCCATCCTGAACGGCTGACACCGCCTGCAGCACTGCCTGAGCCCTCTGGGTGGAGAGAAAACAATGGATTTAGGATGGGGGAAAGGCCCTCAGACTGGTGAAGCTGAAGTCAAGTGTATAAATATATATCTCTGTACCTGGTTCAGAGCGGAGTCTGTTTTCAGTTCCTTATGGTTAGAGTACTGGATGAAGACAGGAGTGTTTCGGACCTAAATAGAATAGGAACCATTTAATAAGCAATTCATTTAGCAGATCAAGAGATTACAGCATAAATTATATTGTGCAACAGGAATGGACCACACACCTGTGGCGTGACAGCTGTGTAGTAGTTCACCATCGTAATGGCTGCTTCTTCTGTACCCAGCTCCAGAAAAGCCTGAAAAACAGAGCCATATTTATCTTTATGTGAATAACAAATAATATCCAGGACAATGTTTTACTGTGTTCTTTTCTTTAGAGAGGGAACATTTTAGTCAGTTGAAGGTAAAAGTGGGATGCCGTTGTGTCAGAGTTTACCTGGTTTTTCCCCTTCAGCATCAGTATGTTGGTGACCTTTCCAAAGGGCAGCCCCAGAGCAATGACTTCAGTCTCTGATACTTCATTGGGAAGTTTCCTGATGTGGAGAACTCTGGAGGGAGGGGATTCGTCCAGACGCTGTTTCTTAGTGTCACTGCCGTTTGCTGCACAAATAATATTTTAAGACATTAATCAGAATATGGCTCCACAAGTCAGTAAGTGTATATAGTAGAATAAATGATGACTGAGTTCTGTTTGGCTGCCTTATTCCTGGCATTATACATGATGGCTCACTTATGGTTTGCTGGAACACTTGAAAAGAATATAGCCTAATAACAATTTTTGGCACTTTTGCTTGTCCTCCATTACAAGTCAAAATGTCTGCTGGGAAATTGGCCTTTCATTATTTCATTGACAGAAGAATATTTTGCAATTCTTTTAATAGTCAACTTAATGGAAAAAATCAAGTTCAGCAGCAGAAATGACAAATATTCCCTTGTTCCAGCTCTTCAATTTGTATTTAAAAAAAAGTTTGGTAGTTCAATCAGAAGATTATATTTTCTAGCCGCAAAATCTAGATTCCCTTTCAATGTAATTTGTTTGCTTACAGATACAGAACCTTACAAATATTTAACATATCCAGTATGCAAGGTTTATATATAACATACAGTACCCTGCTTGTTCAGCTCCCTTTATTCATGATTCTAATGTTTTCTGATCATCTGTGCAGGATAGTCATTCAATAATCAAAATCCTAGACAGCCTTTCTCATTTTTGAATCCTGATAGTACTGACAAACATATACCACCAATGGAACACTTCTCAACCACTTCTCCATGTTCTAAATCTCTTGACTCCAGCTGTGATGTGTAAGGATTACATTTACCAGTCATAGAGGTAGGGCTGCTGCTGTAGATGTTGAGCTCCTCTGAGCCTCTCTGGATAAACAAGGGAAAAAAAAGGGGAAAAAAGTAAATGTTTATTCTTAGTGACAAAAAAACTACCGAACATACATTAAACAACATACTCTATTCATCCTGGCTTGTCTGAACTGCAATGTACACATTGTAACGTAAACATTGTAACATGCAGCAGCAAAAAAAGCGCAAAATTACTAAAAACTTTATTTTAAATCTTAGTTAAGTCTAGGGTTGGGAACCGAAACACGGTTCCAGATGAGAACCGATAAGAAAATGCCGGGTAACCATACAAAATACACAATTTCGGTTCTGCTTAACGGTTCCTACACACGGTAGACCCTGTATTCTACCGGGTCCGTCTGCGCCGCGGGGGAATACAGGGTAACCAGTGGCGGACTGGCCATCTGTGTGTTCTGGAGAATCACAAATCGGCCGGTCGTCAGCGGGCCGTTGACGGCCGGCTCGGTGACGGCCGGCACCGCCCTTCATTTTTTTAAACGGCATCATGTAAGTTGCGCTGACAGGCAACAGAGGTCCACAGTTTCCCCACAGCGAGGCTCCCCCCGCCCTCCCGTGGGCAGTTCACAAGCTCAGTCACTTCATAACACCAAAGATGGATCGTGGCAAACGCTCAAGTGAGGCTCCACTACACTAAAAAATAAAAAGACAAGGCACAGTGTAATGCCTGTTAATAGCTTGCCACAGGCATAGCTCAGTTAAAATAAAGCACAGCTATTGTGCAATACATTTGTATTGCATGTATTTTGTTGTTGTTGTAAAAATGTCAGTTAAAGCTTAAAAGAATAAAGATATTTTTGTTATCTAAACGTTTGACCTCTTTCTTTTATAATTTTGGAATCGAACCGGAATCGATAAGCAGAATCGGAATTGATACATTTCAGACGATACCCATCCCTATAACTGTTTTTGATTTGTAGCTTTTAAGGTTATTTGTATAGTAACATTTCAATTTGGTGTAAATACTTGTCTTTAGCATCCTTTTTGAATGCTACATTTTTTCTTAAAGATACTTATTTTTCTTTATCCCTATATATTTCTTATTTGTTTGACCTACTTTGCAACTCATTTGTTTAGATTATTTGGTACCACCAGATACCAAAGCAAGTTCCTTGAATGTGTAAAGGTACCGAGCAATACACTTGATTCTGATTTTGATGTCATTAGAACCACAAATATATTTAGTATGTGCTGAAAATAAATTACATTTAGCACAGGCTTTTTTTGCATATGTCAAAGATGACAGTTGCATTATTCAGGAATAAATTGTTGTAATTTTTGGTCTGTGTCATGGAGCTCTAGTGTGTTAATGTGTGTATCGAAAAAGGGGAGGGTGGATTAACCAGTGGAGGGTCTGTCATGGTGACATTTGTGTCCCCTGGCGGAGCAGTGGGGGTCCTCTTCACCTCTGTAACCTTCAACTTTCAGCCTTAACCCTATTCAGGCCCCCTCTTGTTTCCACCACACGCCCAGCACGTCCAAAGGGAGGAGTATTTGAAGGAAAGAGAGTGGGAAAAATAGAGAGGGGGTGCAGAAGTGTAGAGGACAGAGAGCTGCAGGGGAGGGCGGGATGAAAAGAAACAAAGGTTGTTGAAGAAATAGCAAAAATTAGGCAAACATGGGAAACTGAGAGAGGTTAGGAGAAGGACTTACATTTACAGTGGGAACAAAATCAAGTAATATGGAGGAGGAAAGACAGTGGATAAGAAAAGCAGGAGGAGAAATGATTGGAAGAGAAATGTGAAGGTGGAGCGAAAGTTTAACAGAAACAATAACAGATGGTTTTAGAGGAAAAGCGCTGGTATGAAAGATAAGGTGTTTGCTCGAGCTCTACAGATCTCACAGGTCCTCAGCTGTGTGTTGTTACAGCTCTCTTCTGCTTCCAGAGCTATCTTTAATCATTCTGCTCTGTATCACTCTACACCACTGTATGTTCCTCCATTCTATACTGAATTCAATATTCAGTGCTTACTGTTAGTGAGATTTCTGCTGATTGAATGTTTATTCAGTCATGTGACATGATCTTATTTCAGTCTAATCTTCTATAGCTTTTCCTAAGGTGTACGCTAATCAGCCCCTATGGTGTGTCTTCGTCTAACCATGTGAGGAAAAGACTAGTAGAAACTTGATTAGAGCAGCAAATGTGAATCATGAAGCTATTCATCATACAGCACTGGAATCAGTGGTACAAGAGATAAATAAAAGGCCACAGAAAAAATGAAATTAACCTACAAGCAACTTCCTATAATATAACCTGTGCTCCTTCTCCACAACAAGACCTCATGTTTGCTGTGAATTCTGTCAATTTGCTGTGCTTTATTGTGTTTTAAGCCCCCCCCCCACCCCCTATTGTCATACCAATGCAAACCTGGCCAATCACTGCGAAAAGTAAGCATGGCTGCCAAAAGTTACAAACATTGGACCCCCTCCCCTGTTCTCTTCCTGTCCCTTTTCTTCGGTCCTGTATCACACTCCAGCAGCAGTTCCCATCCTCTCACCCAGTAAATCAGCATAAAATAGCCCTAACTGTGGCAGATCATAGGGTAAGGAAAGGGAGAGGGGG